CTCCATACATGGTTCGGAAGCTCTAGAGTGGCAGGTGAGCCCATTCTGCTGATGGGGAAACTGAGTCTGGAAGGTCGGAGAGTAGACACACAAGGGAGTCCTCCGAGGTCTCCACGCTGGCTGCGCTCGGACGCGCTCAGACAATCTTTCCATGAGAGTGGGATTCAAGGTTCTTAGAAAAAATTTTAATTTTAAATTACATTTTATTTATTTTGTGTGTACACGGGAGGAACGTAGGGTCTGTCCAGATCACAGGACAATTTGTCTCTACAACATGTAGGTCTGGGCCACCTAAGGTCACCGGACATCCAGGTTCCTGCCTGCATTTTACCGGAGTCTCTTTCCCTGACTGCCCCCCACATTCCAGCTAAGCGGCTAACAAGCAAAGCCTCACATTTTGTTCCATCCTGTACCCTGTGATCACACAGTCTGGGCATACAATATGTGCATACTAAATGTGAGCTGAGAACGACTCCGGGTGTTCATCCAGTTCATGAAATGGAAGTTTTTGCAGTAGCACACACATGTCAGGCCAGGGCGGGGTGGTGAGTGCAGGGGGGAGGTAGAGGCTAGTCTGTGCTACATGAGACCTGGGGCTGAAGGTTTATCGCTGATTAGAATATAAATAGAATACACTTACAGTAAATGAACTCAAAGGTGGTAAGCCAGGATTGCTGGCACTCACCCCTGACCCCAGCACAAAGAGACAAAGGCAGGCGGATCTCTGAGTTTGAGACCTGCCTGGTCTGGAAACCACAAAATAAAAGATATTAAGCTACGTAGAGCCGGGCGGTGGTGCCACACGCCTTTAATCCCAACACTCAGACCCAGCTAAACTCATGAAGCCATATGGTATAATCTGGCCTCAGAGGACAGGCTTCTCTCAAAGATACCTGAGGAAGGCGAGCCCTAATTAGCTCCAGTTAGGGGCCAGTGGCTGGGCCAGGGGTGGAGCCCCGCCTAGGGTACCCCCATAGGGGGCTGGGGTGTGGCCTGGTGTTGAGTCTTGGGTTCAGTCCTCAGAACACATAGGCATGCACGCGCTCGAGCACGCACGCGCGCCAGTGGCGGGGCCGGGGGTGGAGCCCCGCCTAGGGTACCCCCATAGGGGGCTGGGGTGTGGCCTGGTGTTGAGTCTTGGGTTCAGTCCTCAGAACACATAGGCATGCACGCGCTCGAGCACGCACGCGCGTGCACACACAGTCACGCGCCACAAAAGCACAGCAGCAGGAAGGTCGAGCACACACACACTCGAGTGCACACAAGAACGCACAGGCACACCCTAGAACACGCACACAAGCACACGCAGCGGTAGCAGGGTTGAGCACATGCGCACATACGCACATAGGTGCACACAGGAGCATGAAAAGTCACACACACACGACAGCAGCGGCAACAGCAGAGTTGAGGGTTTAGAAAAAGCTTACACAATATGCCTGACAGTGGAAAGAGCTTGCTCACCAGTGTGTCGACACAGGACAACGATGTGAGACAACAAAGGGAATTGCAGGGGCCTGTGAACGGGCACTTGGGGTAAAGGGAACAAGACTGCGAACCTCAGCACCTCAGGCAGGAAGAGACAGGGACAATGACTTGGTCCCAGGAGGGTGTGGAGGAAGGAAGTTAGCAGAGGAATGCAGAGATGCCCGGGAGAGGGAGGGAATCTCAGAGCTGGGGACTGAGGTCGAGAGGAATCTGGGAGTGGAAAATGGAAGACAGTAGTCCTTAAGAAGGCTTAACTACATTGGGGACACACTCCTTTAGTCCCAGCACCAGGGAGGCAGAGGTAAGTAGATCTCTGGGAGTTCGAGACCACCTTGTTTTACAGAGCAAGTTCCAGGACAGTCAGGGCTACACGGAGAAATATGGTCTTGAAAAACTTTGACAATTTGTGGAAAACTAAGGAAAATGCCGGGGTTGGTTGGTTGCCACAGGCATCTCCAATAAACGGACAAAGGAAAATGTAAGTGGCCCTGTCCTTAGCACAATGACACCATGGTGGATTTACCATTCACCTGTAAGACTCAGTCTACAGACAGTACCACCAGCTCAAATGAAAACACCTAGTCCATCAAACCCATAGTTCTGGGAAAGTCTAAATGTAGTAACAGTGCTCTCTGGCTTCTGTAGTCCTGCTTCTGTCTAACTGTTCTTGTCAATCGAAGTGTGTCAGCCCAGGACATGGTTTCTGTGCTTAAAAGCTCACCCGGGTCTGGAGAGGTGGCTCAACTGTCAAAAGCACTGGCTGCTCTTGCAGAGGACATAGGTTCAATTCCCAGCACCCACATGGCAGCTCACAGCAGTCTGTAACTCCAAGACCTGGCAGTTTTACACAGATATACATACAGGCAAAATACCAATGCATATAAAATAAAAATAAATAAATGAAAAAAAAACTTACCTGAGAAAGGCTCAGGGCAACTCCGGGACCCCAAACACACAGTGCAGTCACCAGCGGCTATTAAAGACTTTCTGTTGGCTTAAACCTGTGCCCAAGCAGTCTTCTCTGGTGGACACCCCACAACAGAATAGAATGACCTCCATGATAAAATTAACCAACTTCTAGCACCTCAGGATGAGGTGAAGGACAACAGTGAACTCAGTGAAAAACTGGCCAGCTCCAGGTAGGTATAAACTGTAATGGCTTCCAAGTGTGCCCCAGAGGGAAACCATCTCTAACAGAATCCCTCATGATAAGATTGGCTGAATCACCTCAAAAATTCAAGTCCTAGTAAGGGTATTAAACGGTAAAGAATGGAACCCTGGAACTTGGGATGGGGGTGTGTAGGAAGAGCCTGTCGAAGCTGAGAACTTTGAACCCTCAGATTCTCAAGGGTTCATCTCACCCAAGAAGTAGACTCTCCACCCTCAACTGAAGATGTAGTAACACCCGCCCCCCAGATTCTGCCTTTTTACCTTTGACTGAGGAAATTGCTTTCTATGAAGAAAATGCCCTTGTCCCTCAATCCCAATACTTGCCTCTAAACCCATAACCAGACTCAAGGCTAAGCAGGCTCCTAGACCCGAGACAGAAAGTGTAGTCCATGAGGAAGTGTGCTATACTACAAAGTAGATGACTGGAGGTGGTGGCACGCCTTTAATCCCAGCACTCGGAGGCAGAGGCAGGCAGATCTCTGTGAGTTCGAGGCCAGCCTGGTCTACAGAGCGAGTTTCAGAACAGCCTCCAAAGCCACAGAGAAACAACCCTTCCTTGAAAAACCAAACCAAACCAAACCAAAACAAAACAAAAAAACACTACAAAGGAGATTAGTGAGCTTGCTAATTCATTCAAGAAGTCTGGAGAAGAGCATGTGGGAATGAACTTAATTGAAGGGTGTGAGGTAATGGCAGAGGGAGCATAAAATTGGATCAGGCTGAGTTTATCGATATGGACCCTCTGAGTGCATATTCTAGGTTTAATATGGAAATGTGCACAGTTAAAGGGTGTCAAAAGTTTGGGGCTGGTGAGATGGCTCAGTGGTTAAGAGTTTTTAAGGCTGTTTTTCCAGAGGTGGTGGGCTGGGGGTGGGGGAGGAGGGCTGGGGGTGAGGGGAGGGAGAGGGAGAAGGGACTTGAAATAAGCTTGTTCCCTAACTAGAACTAATAAAATAAAATAAAAAAATCCCCAAACAAACAAACCTCATATATTGGGGCTGGAGAGATGGCTCAGAGGTTAAGAGCACTGCCTGCTCTTCCACAGGTTCTGAGTTCAATTCCCAGCAACCACATGTTGACTTACAACCATTTGTAATGGGATCTGGTGCCCTCTTCTTTCTCTTCTGGCCTGCAGGTATACATGCAGGCAGAACACTGTATACATAATAAATAAATCTTTAAAAAAAAAAAAAAAAGATGTCAAAAGTTTGCTTGAGTGGTTGGCTGAGGCAGTTGTCAATGGGAAGGCCCTTAAGAGTTGGTCTTCATTAACCCTATAAGACCCAAAGTGGTGAGAGAGCACCAGCACATTTGAAGAGCTGTGCTGTCACCATTTTCCTTGTGCCAGAGCTTAAGTTTAGAGACACTGCTGCTCAGATGATCAGATAAAATGCAATGGGTTTAATTGGGCCCAGAGGTAGCAGGGGTCAGGTGACTTCACTGAATCACCAAATGCAAGGTTATTGTAGTTATCTTAGTGGGCAGCACAGGCAAGATGAATTTTATGATGCCCTGATTCATACAGACCTTTGGTAGTGGCTACTTTGTGTTCCAGGCTTGAAATAGATGAGAAGCCTGAACTTTTGTTTGGTCTGTATAAGCAGAAAAATTCTCAAACAAATGAAAGAAAGTCTTCTGTTGGCAGATAGCCATTGCTAGATTATCTGGACCACAGCCTGTGAGCCTCATCCATCCATCTATCTCTTTGTTATCTGTCATCTACCTTCTCCTTATTACCTATCGTCTATCTACCTAACAACAATTATCTATCTCTTTCTTACTCATCTATCAATCTATCCTCTACCTATCTCTTTATCACCTACCATCTATATACCAATCTGTCATCTATCACTTTATTATCTCTTTATTATCTATCTATCTATCTATCTATCTATCTATCTGTCGCTTACCTGTCTGTTTTCCTTCTATAGGCTCTGTTGCTCTGGAGAACTTGACTAATACAAACCCCTGCCCAGAACTCACTGTGGGAGATAGAGGAGCATGACATTCTGGCCTCAGAGCACCAGTGAGTGAGGAGTTGTGGATCTGAGAGCCAGGAATCACTCTCTGTACCCTCTGACCCAGGCTGCAGAGGGGACGGGTGGACAGGCATGGTTAGCAATCTGCACGAACCTCAACTTGCAGGGTGGCCCCCAATGGTGAGAAGCAGAGGACACAGTGGCACTAGCAACTTAGAAGCAAGCCTTTTCTTTCCAAATTACATAATTTTTCAGAGCTCAAAGACATCAGAAATAAGTGGCCTGCTCCGGCCAGCAGGGCTGAAACGAGAACCCAAACCTTGAAGGAACAGGAACAAGAGACGCAAGGATGACAGCAAGACAGGATTTCTGATCAAACTGCCAAATTTTATTTTTCTGAGACCTTATATAGTGGTTGAAGTGGGAAGCTTGGCGGGGCGGGAATTCCGCAGGGAGAGGCCATTTGCCTGATAACCAAACCTCAGAATGTCCCTGTGCAGTGCGTGAGTCCTTGAAGGCAAGTGGAGAGTGCAGGACGCTAGCAAGGTCGGGGAGTGCAGGTGCAGATGAGGCAGGAGGCTAGCAGGGTTGGGGAGTGGGAGCAGGAGGAAGGGTTGCTAAGGAACCTGGCTGTGGAATGTTTCTTTCTTTACTATTGGCTTCTTCTGTAAGCCCAGGTGCTATTTATCAGGAAGTTGGGGAGGGGAGGATTGATTGTGAAGGTAGCCATTCTTTTAACATACTGGGCTACTCCAAAAACTGCTGGCAATCTTCACAAGAGGTCCCATACAGCATGGTCGCTTCTGGCAGTGACCCCCTCCTCAATAACCATGAATGCAAAAAGGGAGGTGCCCCTCTCACCCTCCCCAGTAATAAGGTGGGGAGGGAGGTACAATATGAGTTCCACTCAGCAGCTTCTACAGCTTCTGCATCCTCAGAGCTGCCATGACTCCTGCAGAGCCACCAGGACCCCCAGTCACCTCAAACAGGCAACTGCATCTGCATCAAAACAGGCTGTGGCCTAAAGACAGGAGAAGACTCAGCTGTGAACTGCCACTCCACACTGCCCACCCAGGGACTTGCCCTCCTCCCTGAGCTGGCTCCGCTCTTGGCCCAAGTATAACCCCAGCTACAAGTCTCCCCTGCCCCTCATAACCACCCAGGGACCCAGTTCCTCACCTGCCAGCTATGGGGTCCTCAAAAGAGCAGGAAGAGTGGTACTGCGAGCACCAGAAGGCTGGAGACCGCCATGGAGCCGGCAGAGTTCTGCTTAGATGTGATAGAAGCTTCCTCGGCAGTCCTGGATGGAGGGGGGATGGTTTAGGCAGAGGTCACCTGACTCCTGATGATATGCCTCCCCCCCTTTTTTTTTTCTCCGAGACAGGGTTTTGTGTAGCTTTGGAGCCTATCCTGGAACTCGCTCTGGAGACCAGGCTGGCCTCGAACTCACAGAGATCCACAGAGACCCCCCTGCCTCTGCCTCCCGAGTGCTGGGATTAAAGGCGTGCGCCACCAACGCCCACCCGGCGATATGCCTCCTTTTTAACAAATGTTTCTGTGCTGGTTTGAAACTGGGGGATTCCCTTTGAGCCACGCTCCCAGCCCCTCACTGGGGGATTTGGGCAGGGGTCCAATAGGTCCCTAGTCCTATTCTTAGTATTTCAAAATGACATTTTCTTTCCTTAGACTTAATTTTTATTTTTAAATTTTTATTATATTTTATTTAGAGTGTATACATGTGCATGTGTAATATGTGTATACATGAGTACTCGTATATCATGGCATGTGTGTAGAGTCAGAGGCATGTATGTGGGATCTGGGATCAAACTCAGGTTGACAGGGTTGTGCTGCAAGAACTTTATCCACTGAGTTACCTCACTTGCCCTGATTTTTAAGTGTGTGTGTCTGTGTGTGTGTGTGTACAGTGCCCTCAGAGTCCAGAGGCGCAGAACTCATACAGCTGGACAGTTATGAGCTACCCAAAGTCCTGGTTGCTGGGACCGGCAGCACCAGGTCCTCTGCAAGAGCAGCCAAGGCCTGGGCCTGAGACCTCCTTGATGGCTTAGATTCTTCCTCTCCCATGGGGTCTCAAGCCTGTGTCACCAAGCTGAGGGTCCTATGCCGCCCACCCACCACGCTCCTGAAGGAGGGAGCTAGACTGGTCACCTATGGCAGTGGTCCTAGGGATAGGTTTTCCCTCTGAGATAGGGTTTCTCTGTGTTATAGACTCGGCTATCCTGGTCTAGACCTCACAGAGCAACCCCTGCTTCTGCCTCCAGAGTGCAGGACATTTCAAAGTGTGCACGGGTATCTGGCTCCATCTTACTTTTATTGTTTGCGGTGATATATTACTTATGATTTATTAAATCTTGTCTGAGGATTCAGAAAGCAAAGTCAGACACAAGCCACAGAAGTCAGGCACACTTCTGTGCCTGAAGCTAGGAGGTGGTGGTACACACCTCTAATCCCAGGACTCAGGATTAAGTGGTAGATGGATCTCCCTGAGTTCAAGGCCACCCAGGGATACACAAGATTGAATCAGTCTAAAAGAGTAACTGAGCTCATGCCTTTAATCCCACCCTAGAGAGGTATAAAACATAGAAGCAGGGTCTTCAGTAGTCAGTTTCAGGCATTCATTCTCCAGCCCCAGCCCTGTTAGAGGTAAGAGCTCTCTGGTAGCTTGGCTGCTTTGCTTCCCTGATCTTCAGCTTAAACCCCAATTTCAGTCTCTGGGTCATTTATTTATATTGTTACAATTGTTATTGCTACTATTTTAGTAGTGAGCTTCGGACTTTATTGTGCAACAGGGAAGGCTACAATTTTGCCTGCATACCCTCTTCCTTAATTTTTGAGACAGGGTCTCTCCCTGAACATTAAGCTTACTGCCTGGGCTACTCAGGCTGACCAGTGAACCCCACGATATTTCTGTCTGTTCCCCAGTACTGGAGCTACAGACATAACTACAGCCAGTCTTTAAGTGGGTTCTGGGGATTTGAACTCAGGTCATTAAGCTAGTGTTGCAAACTCTCCTCACTAAGCCTTCTTCACAGCTCAGACATAAGCTGTGGATTGTGCGAGTCTAGGGGGTCCCCAGTCTTGAGGAAGTAAGTAGAGAGTGGCAGGGGAGAAGGAGGTAGGGGCAGGAAGGGGCCGATGTGTCTCTAACCTCAGCTTCTTCAGCTTCTGTTCGAACTCCTCAACTTCACCTGCAATGACACAGAGGGTAGTCAGCATAGCTGTGAGCTAGTCCTCACAGTGTGAGCAGTCGACAAGGTGGAGGCCGCAGGGAGAGGGCAGGGACAGGGAGAGCACCCCAATGTAACAGCTGGAAGACCAAGACCAGTCATCAGCCAAGGATGGCTCTGTGGTGGGGGATGGGGGAGCATGGTCGGGAGGCTGCAGGGAAGGGCCAGCCTGGGGCCCTTCTGCAGGGCTGTAGAAGGGCCAGTGAAACCTTCTGATCCACGCAGATTCCTGAGCAGCTGGCCCATAGCTCTGAGGCCCCTCACTCTGGGCCACCACCTCTCCCCAACTCCCAACCTGGAGGCCTGCTCTATTCCCTCTTAGTCCCCTGCACTCCCCCACCCCATCCCTTCTCACCCTCAAGCTTCTGGATGCGAACTTGCTGTTCCTGGATGTGAGCCTTCTGCTCCTTGATCTGAGCCTCCTGCTCCTTGATCTGAGCCTCCTGCTCCTTAATCTGAGCCTCCTGCTCCTGGATCAGAGCCTGCTTCTCCTGGATCTGAGACACTTTCTTCTCCAGGGAATCTTGAAGGGTCACCTGAGTCAGAAAAGCAGCAGAAACACAGGTTGGCTATTGTCTTGGTCCCTGGAAACTTTCCAGGCCAAGTTATCAGAGGACCTTCTACCCAAACAAACGCCCTTTTAGGTTCCCCTCCAACACGCTCCCCTCCCTGCCCCCACTCCACCAACAAACGTGCCATCTCCAAAATGGCAGTTTTAAGCACCTCCCACCACGGGAATTTGAAAGCTCTTCATAACCAAACCCTATTCGAAAGTTCCAGATGTTCTGCGGCTCACACAGATTTAGCAAGTCCTTCCCAAACACAACACAACGGGGCTTCCCCGCCAAGGTCTCTAAGAGATACATTCCAAGTTTCAATAACTTGCTGGTGGTGGCGCACGCCTTTAGTACCAGCACTCGGGAGGCAGGGGCAGGCGATCTCTGTGCACTCGAGGGCAGCCTGATCTACAGAATGACTTCCAGGACAGCCTGAGCTATGTAGCGAGACTCTGTCTCAAAAAAGAAGAAAAAAAAAAAATTCAATCATCAGGGCTGAGTGAAGTCCCCCGGGAAGCCCCAATGCTGGTCCCCTAAGTCAGTTTCAAGCTCTCCAACTTCGGCACCCCCCACAAAAGTTGGAGAGCCCTTCCAAGTCCTGGAAGGGAGGATACTGAGGCCCCTGATTCCGGAGTTGTAGGATTTCTAAGGTCTCTCCGGATTTCGAGGTCCTC